GGTTTTGTCAATGTTGGAGATGAAGATAAGGTGGGTCTTCTTAGGAAATCTCTCTATGGCTTGAAGCAATCTCCAAAACAATGGTACTTGAGGTTTGACGAGTTCATGGTACGAAATGGGTTCTCGCAGAGCAATTTTGATAGATGCGTGTATGTCAAGTGGGTTGATGGTAGTGGAATATTCTTGTTGCTATATGTTGATGACATGTTGATAGCATTGAAGAACAAGAACGAAATCCACATTGTGAAACGAATTTTGGAAAGCGTGTTTGAGATGAAAGACATGGGAACGGCCAAGAAAATTTTGGGGATGGAAATCACACGAGATAGGAGACGCGGTGAACTATTCGTGTCTCAAGGTGGTTATCTTCGGAAGGGTGTGGTCAAGTTTGGGATGTCGGAGTCAAAGGTGGTTCAAACATCTTTGGCGGCTCATTTCAAACTTTTTGTGAGTATGTCGCCGAAGACCGAGGAGGGTCGAGCGAGCATGAAGCGAATTCCTTATGCGAGTGCCGTTGGAGTCTCATGTATGCCATGGTGTGCACATGACTGGATTTAGCGTACGTGACTAGTCTTGTGAGCCGATTTATGGCCAACTCGGGTAGAGAGCATTGGAACGCAACAAAGTATGTACTTCGGTTCGTTAAAGTAACTTCAGATGTTGGTTTATTCTATCGACGGGCAAATGAAGATGCGGCGAAGTTGAGAGGATATGTTGATGTGGACTTTGTGGGTGACTTGGACAAGAGGCGGTCTTTGACCGGATATTTGTTCACCTTGTTTGGTTGTGCGGTGAGTTGGAAGGCGCAATTACAACCGGTAGTTGCACCGGTAGTTCTACAACCGAGGCCGAGGACATTGCCACCACGGAAGTCGTGAAGGAATCTCGTTGGTTGAAGGGGTTGATTCATGAGCTCGGAATTGTGCAAAATGAGGTGGAGTTGTTTTGTGATAATCAAAGCGCGATACACTTGACCAAGAACGAAATGTTTCTTGAGAGGACGAAGCACATCGATGTAAAGCTACACTTCATTCGAGATGTGGTCGCCGAGGGATCCGTGGTTGTTGAGAAAATGCACACGGACGAGAATCCGGCGGATATGGCTACGAAGGCGGTGACGGGGATCAAGTTTCGGCATTGTTGCGACTTGATCAACGTTGCGAAGTTGAGCAACTAGAGGAGGATGTGGAGAGTGGTTCTACTGTGATGTGAGTTTTTGTTCGTTCCGAGTTCTCCTTAAAGCCGAGGTGAAGATTTGTGAACGTGACTTTAAGTTTGTGGGTCACACTTCTTTATTGTTTTATTTCCTTTGTATTGTGTATATAAAGCAAAAGTGTTGTTGTTTAGTATGCCGAGAGGAAAACAAATAGAGAGGAAAAGTGGGTGAGAGAAAGAAAGAGAGAAAATAAACTAGAACAAACAAGGGAGAAAAATCCTTGAGAGAAAAGAGAAAGTTGTGGGGGCTTGAAATCTTTGTAATCTTGGATTATTATTTGTTAGTGGAACCACTCTCCAAGCAGTAAGTAGGACATTTTGGTCCGAACCTGGGTAAATCTCGTTGTCTTGTTCTTTTATTTTTCCATCGATCATATTGTTTGGATTGGAGCCACGTAGGCATATATATATTGTGTTGTGCTAGTATATTCCTGAGTCCGCAGGTATCCGGCTCCGAACCGATCATACAGATTAAAAAAAAAGTCAAGTTACGATTGCATATTTGATGCTTATGTTCATACACATGAAATTTCTTTAGAGGGAATGTTATCCATGTCTTTTATGGACGAATAGTGTAACTACAGAAGCCAAAATCTGCAAGTATTAAACTGTGTGTGTGGCGAGATAAATCCTTGTTACGTTATAATTGAAGTAATATGCAACAAACAGACGCTCAATTTCACATGCCATTTAAAAATTGCGCTGTAGAATAAAATATATCAGCAGCTGAGAGAATATACGAACCGGAAATGGGCTGTAAATTTCCGGTCACGAATTCTATAACCCCTCTTTCAAAAATAAAACTATTAGAGTTATTTTTAAAATAAGAAGAATGTTCTACTAAAATACAGGATACCTTTATTTAAGCTCTGTGTAATCTAATATATCAAAGCATTAGATAGTGTAACATACATTATCTGGAGAAACCAAGTAATAATATGCATGTGTAATGTATAACATTTGATTAAAAAAGTTGGAAAATTTTAGGTGATTTAATATATGTATTCACCAATTTTGACATTGTTGGTACCTAGCCTTGGTTCATAATTGTAGTGCTTGATTGATTCATGGGTATTCTCATAATTTGTTTTACCCATTTGACATTCCCTCCCACTTGCATCGTACTTGCACAAGTAAAATGCATACGCAGGCGTGCTCGAAGTCACAGCAATGGTGGACACAAGCATGGAGCTGGTTACATTTGAGGAGTTGCTCACAATCCAATCATCCACTTTCTCTTATGGCGAGAAGTCTGGAAGCTTATAAGCTCTTCCACGTTCTGAGCCCAATGCATATTTCAAATGGTACTCTACGAAGTGTGCTATCTCGAGACTCGAGCAGCTATGTACCAAGCTGATAGATAGCCTCCACCGATCGAGGCAAACGAGCAGTACCCGAGACGTACGAAGGAGTTGAATCAATGTGTTGTGTTTCGGATGGTGTGAAGATTATAGAAGTCGGTGGAACCGAAGAATCACCTGTATGGAAGTAGAAGACCGAGACGACTCCAGTCAGGACTCAAGAATGAGAAATTGAGATGACCGGGTATTCTCAGACCTACGCCGCACTCCTTGTTCCTCCACGGCCAGCCTCTCATCCTCATTAATGGTGTCAGAACCTCAAGGGTTCCGAATGTTGAATGCTCTGATCCTCCGCTCGAGATGGCAGATATTTTCCAGGGTTCGGGGTCTTTGCATGCATCGATGTCTTCAGCTTGATAAATGCTGAGATGTCCTCTCATCACACAGGTCCGCAGTGTCCGCAGAGAGCTCATAGCCACGGAATTCATAGAAGTTTCTCCAATTGACAGGAAGGCCTTGTGATACAAGCGGTGGAAGTGCTTTCTTCAAAGCCGGTTCTCGTCTGTGGAGGTCGTCACTTCGCGCACCGAATCTCGCAGCTGACGAAATCTGCATCGAGAATAAGAGTCGCGAGGTGAGTGTCACATGACGTCTTGGACCTCTTGAGCCGAGGAAGATGCAATCACGAGCCTGTTTCGTCGATGCCGGAAAACCTCAAGTCTCCTGACTGCAGGAGCCCACTGCAGTATGGGTGCAATCTTTGGACTTCCGAGTTCATGTCCGGAATCCAGCCTAAAATCTTCAACCTTCTAGTCCACCATACAGTAAGGTATGATTTCTAGATGTGGATATGCTAGTGCACGAACACTTTTTGACTGCGCCGGATTGTGAAGGTCAAGCGCCAGGGGCCGGACTCCGGGAGCCTCGGAATGCGCAGCTCATGCTTGACCCTGACCACTGTAATAATTCGGATTGGCATTGGGATGGATTCATATCCTTGAAATTGCGCTCTTTACTACTCATGCACTCCCTGTGAAATGAACATGAGGGGCTCGGTAGAATCTTATGATCGAAAACTTAAGCTCGGCCAAATTAATGTATCTGTCGAGAAGAAAAATCATTCCAGGAGTTGGAAAAGTCGTCGTTTCTCGAAACGACTAGCCAATCGGAATTTGGAGTTTTGTGTTGTCTCTCTATCCAGGAGACAACAGATGACAGTAATCATGAAGTACGAAATGTACTTAAGCAGACTCTGTACACATCATTGAATACACTGGAACATGTTTTGTTGGAAATGAGGTATTCTGTACTTTTCTCCCATTGCATTCATGAATCAAATCGCCTCCACGTAACCTTCATGAACGCAACAACAACAGTCTTAAGGAATAAAAAATCCCATACTGAACACAGTCAGTATAACAAATCAGAGATAAAACGTCTTCTCTTTTGTGCTCGAGCTTCGTTTAACACATAATTTTTATGCTTGTAAATTCCAGTAAATTTTGACCCCGGACCAGCCCGCGGAGCTGAAGAGGAGCAGCCAGACTGCCAGGTTCGCAAGGACATCCAGAGCTGGAGCTGGACTGCATTTCGAGGTGTGGAAGAAGTATGTTGTATGACCTTGGTCTTCGTGTTCCAAAGTCCATCCAAACGAAGCATCAAAAACTGCAGGTGTCTAATCTGGTAACGCTGATTCTAGAAATTGTACTTGCTACCGAAGCATGTAATGTAACAGAGTCGAAGTGCACCAGAAGGACAAAGGTTCAGACTTGTAGACAGGATGTAAGATGGAACGGAACGTAGAATACAAGACTGATGATGCGAATCATTTTTCAAGCTTCACCAGCATCACGTTCAGGCGTGACAGTAAAGGAACTGACCTCACCTTCAGCGTGTAATTTATTCATCATATTTGCAAATGTATCTGATTCGCAGTCGCGGTGTACCTCCTACTTTCTAGTACAATGATATCATCTGATGTTTCTGATTGCAATCCCTCAGTAGCCCAAGAGGCGAATTCGATCGATAGACTGGATGAGGTCAACCAATTTGGCATTTTATAAATTGCTATATTTTATATGGACCCGGGTATGGGCAAATTGTTGTTCGTTTAAGCTCACTTTGCTCTGGAAGCCACTCACCCTCACATCTGTCTTCGGTGAAGGATTGGAGGAAAGCTTATGCCAATGGTAGGCAGCATTTCCTCAGCAGTACCTGCAAATTTAGAGTTTTGATCATTTTGGACCTTCTGATAATCGATCTGTAAGCAAATCTGCTACATCGATGCAAAACGTGCTCCACCTGTTCAAGACGGCAAGCTCGTAGAGAACTCCTTGCTGACAGTTGAGGCAGGCAGGTGCACCATGAATCCACGAATCCACGAATGCTCGAGATGCGGATGGCCGACATGCACCGATGCCACAGCGACGAGCGTCGAGAGAGAGAGAGAGAATTTTGCAAGCCCCGATGGGATTTTTCGGCCCCCTAGCCACAGACGGGATTCCACGCCCAGCCGCTGGCATCTCTGCACGGCAAATCCTCCATGAACGAATGGATCTCGAACGGGGGATAAACTCGCGACACGAGGCTGACGGCGCCATTGCTCGGATTGTACGAGGCCAGCTGATATCCCTGAGAGCCCGAGCTCGAGGCGGCGTCATGGATCGAGAACGCATCGGACAGGCTTCCATGGTGGATATGGGCGGGCATTTGCGGGAGCAAATGCTGATGGTGGTGTTGATGGTGCTCGTACGTGAGCTGTTGCTGCTGCTGCTGCTGCTCCTGCTCCGTGGGCACGGGAAGCAGGGAAGGCTGCGAAGAGACAAGGCCCTTCTTTTTCTTGCCGTAGGCGATGCCTCGAGCCTTGGCCTGCTTCTCGCGAACCTCTCGCAGGTACGAGCGGATCACGCGGTCGCCGAAGGGATTGCGGCTGGCGTGGCCTCCGTTCTCCTCGAACGCAGCTCGCAGACGACCGATCAGAGCGTCGAGCGAGCCCCAGGCCTGGCGCAGAGGGCACGAGCACGGATGCGCGGGGCTCGGCACTCCGAAGTAGTGGCAGCTCGGCACGTGCACTTTGGTCTTGCCGAATTGGTCCAAGTAGCGCAGGAACTCGATCACCTGCTCGCCGCTGCACTCCTCCAGATCGATGCGCGGTCGGTGATTTCGCAAGTACTGCCCGAAGCTGTTCCAGTCTCGTCGCTTTTGCGACTCGTATCGGCTCGGCGCTGCTGCTGCTGGCGGCGCTGGTGGTGGTCTGGCGCTTTGAGTGATCTCGTGTTTCTGATTCAGACCCCGAAGCTGCTGCTGCTGAAAGACCTCGAGCTCGTTGCTCCCCGCTCCCTCGAATGTCGTGGGGCCCAGATACTCCACCTTCGCCTCGTCGCGTCCTTGTGCACCTCCACTGGCGGCGGCGTTCGATGATTCATTGCTGAACCTGAATAACGAGTCCATACAATCCAGCGAGTCCACTGGTGAGATGGCCTCGTCGACCGCCTCGTCGATGTGTCAGAGATTATGGACCTTATTCAAATGCGGATGAAGAATGAACCTATCCGACAGACTCTGAGATCTGTCCAGAGCTTGCCAACGGCGACTCCACCTCTGGAATGATCTCCACAGTCACGAATAATAAACAATCGGAACTTTGTCTTACAGCTTCGATCTCCACGGTCTGTGTGGTTCTCGATTTCTAGCGTTGCACTATCGCGCCGTCTGCTTCTTCGACAGACCTTCGTCGATCTACTTTCCTTGCCAATGGTTCTGCTACACTACACTCGCAGCTGGGCTAATATGTGGCTCTTTTACAAATACGAAGCAAGGATTGTTCAGGTGCTGATGAGCTAACTGTCCAGCCTACTGATGGACTACCATACATACAATTGGAGAGAGTTATGTGCGCAAGTAGTCGCTGATTATGACTGGTAAGCCTGATGTGCCTGGAGGAACAGATTCCACCGAGTGGTGCATGTTATACTCGACTCCGATCGGAGTGCTTCTCTTCTTCTTCTTCGTCGTCTTGGTCGATCAGAGGATGAAAGCCGGATTTGAGTTCGCCTCAGAGTCTGTAACCTGTGTTGCTTGGTGGCGATGTTGTCTGACGGCCAGTAACTTGGTTTTAGGCTTGCATGCACTTGCCCGTACCAAAAGACACTGGACTCATGGTGGGGATGTTCGCATTGATCTGAACTCTGGGGCTGATGGCGATTTTGCAGAGCTTTGCGGCGGCAAAATCTCGTTTTTCTCCAAATGGCACGCCTTTTCAAATAGGAATGCATTGCTTTGTCAAGAACTGATTCCTGCCCTGCGCACCTTCAACCCCGCCACTGCACACCAGCGCAGCTGCCAAAGGGTTGACTGCAGCAACCGTGCAGGGTTTACCGCTTGCTAGAACGGATACCCGGAGTCAACAACGACTTGCCATTTGAGAACAACAGTATCTGATTGATGATCTCTGTGCAGGTAATCTCATTTTGAGGTCTACTGGAAATTGAATTTTATTCTTGTTTTGTTCGAGAATTTCCTGAGGGCGAAAAGGGAACCTCTGAAACAATCTGACGGCTAGTTCATTGTAAAGTCTTGGTTCGATTCGCGCGCTTCCCCAGGACAAGGTGCGAACGAAGTATGGCGAGGTCAGCAAACGATTCAATTACAACTTGGACAACGAACTTGTCTTTAATGCGCAGGTTTTTGTTTGACTTGCTGAAGTCCAAGAGCAATCACTTCATGAGCGTATTCTCTTTCTTAGCCAGAGCTACCTCTTGCATGATCAGGTTTCCGACCATAAATATTTGCTGCTATGCGAGCAAACTATTCAAAGCTTTCTCAGAATTGTAGAGCTTTCTGATCATGCAGCATAGTTTGTAAGACCTATTGTCTGAATTTCAGTATATGCGGTTCGTCTGAGTCTTGAACTTGATGTTGAGTACCTCGGGCTTGCTTCTTCGAAGAGATGTTAGTCATAACTTTAGAGTCTGAGTCTGACCTTAAAGCAAGGAAGAGAGATTGTGAAAAGCTTGAGCTTTGCCACCTGCATGATAAAACATGATACTAGCAGAAATTGGAAGTTTCCTTTGGAGGCGAGTGAAATTGCATTCCAAAAAATATCATCTGCCATTTTCTGACGCAAAAAAGTCGAAGCTGGAAAGAGGATTCCCGCGGAATCTGGAGTTCAGCAGGACCCTCGTCATTCAGGGGTGGAAGTAAAGAGCTTACAAAACAGGAAGGGCTCAAGCCTCAAATGCTGCGGGAAATAGGGGCCCGCTGAAGAACTCGTGTTGCAGTCGCCTGACTTTGCACATGGACTTTGATTGGAGTAGCCGACATGTAGAAACATGGAAAGGCGGTCCAAGCTGATGACAGCTGCGGAATCAGTCGTAATTTGGAGTCTGTACACAAACAGCTAGATCTATGCGTGCATTCGCATGGAACCATGAATGTGTTGTGCCAGTCGCTGAGATTCACGCGATTGACTTGCAATTTACGATAGATCGGTCAAAGCCCACGACGTTTTACTCGCGATTCTCGGACCTGCGTCCCCTTCGTTTCCCAGTCTGCTCCATGGGTTTCGCCAGTGATGTGTGACGCGAGTCTTTCGACTCCGGTAAGTCGTTATTGCGACTTTCGATTGTAGATCGTCGGAGGATCTGTTCAGATCCTCAGATCCTCCAGATCGCACGCAGCAGACTGCGTTTTGCGGTTTGCCTGCTGGCAGCAGACGATTCGTACCCAATTTTGTCATCTGAACGACAATCGCAGTCTCCTCTTCAATTGTTCCGCTGGCATCCGTCATCGTTGCCACCGCTTTCTTTGGGATCCGTTCCTCAGAAGAGCGCAGTCTGCCGATTTCTTTCCGACTGAGCTGCGATCGATGTGAGAGCTGTCAGCTACACCGAGGACGTATTTTGTGAATGCATGTCGGTCGGAAATCCAGCTGCAGACGGGCTACTGCCGCATATTGCAGTTGACGACAGTTGCTTACACCATCTACGGGTCTGCACAAATGTATTGAAGAAGCCTGGGGGTTTCACGGTGAGGCGCTCGTTCCTCGTACATATTCTGTAATGAAGGCTCATTGATCTGCTTTGGACAAGTCAGTTCTCGAAGTTCTTCAAGATGAGCCATTCTTTCATGGCTTATGAATCATAAGCCATGAAAGAATCATAAGTTATGATGATTATAAGCACAGAAGTCGATTGATCTGCCCCGGAGATAGTACCGACATCACGAAGCTCCAGGTCCTTTCACTTACAACCTTAAAGCATATCCTCTAAATTTCCTGTAAAATGAATAAACGCAGATGAAGATTCTCAACGCTTGATCCGACCACATAATCACTTGATTCTCACTCCAAAATGCAAGATATCCCTGCTGAACGAGTCAAATGCCCCGACTGGGTTTCGATGAATGTGTAATCGTGGCAGAACTCGAAGCCTAAATAGTTATGTTTCGAAGGCTCAGTGTAATCTGATGCTCCACATGCCACAGTTTCTATACCACATGAATATAGATAGTCAGCTCATCTTCAAATTATAGTCACATAATCAGCGCTGTTGTCCTGATATGTTCAATATTTGTACGTCCGAGTTCACATGCAGATGTTAGCTCTACGATCAATCATCCCTATCTTTTCTACACAAACTAACTGCGGCCTGCGAGTCTTCATCGATGGCTTCCAAGCTTTCTATGCTCGTGAATGTATCCAAATTCGTTCTCATCGTCTCGATAGTTGACCTTTCACCACAAATCATAATCCAAATCGACATTACGATCGAGGCAAGTCCACTCTGCTCTTCAGAGCTGTCATAGCTGGGCTGCTCCAAGTCTTAAGACAAGATAAATGATCAGATGGGAGTTGAGCCCAAGTCTGTACTCTAGTGATCTAATCCCTGGGCCTTAGGTCTCTTAAAGTCACTACAGGCAGTATCGGCACGAGCTGTGTCGTTGCCGGTAGTCAAAGAGCTGAATGTTCAGACCGTGTACGTTTTCTGACAGAGTTCGTCCTGCGACCTTAGACTAGGTACTAGTTTTGTCGAGTTAATGTAGGTCAAGATGTTCGCATCTCCTGAATCAAAACCTGAGTGGGAAAAAATTGTTGTGGCTTACCTATGATTAATTGGTGGACGTACAATGAATAAGCGTCAAAAGATGGTCTCCAAGTACATGCATGTCCACAGCTCAGAAAGGAAAGGACGAACAAGCTCTCGTTTAACGTAATAGAGGTTTTGAAGCATTGCGTACAGCCTGGAATCAAGATAACTCACCAGTCTCTGTATACTATGGGCATGAACTTCGTCTCGAATTTCATACATTTCCGTTAACAGACTGAACAAACTTAGTCAAAGAAGATCCACTAGAAGATTATACAATACTTGCAACACTTGCACCACTCCTTTGAAAAGACACTCAGGCATTGGTTCAAATTGAAATACCTCTGTCAAGTACATGAGAGAAGTTAAAGTAGACGATTGAAATCTTCTGAAGTAATAGTGGTGATCTGCTCTTTCTGATACTCAATTCTCTGAATTCTAAGCTTTTACTTATCGGAGTGTGGCCAGGAGGATGCAAGGCTTCAATTTGAAAATCGTTGTAATAAATGTACCTCAAATATCGCCCTGGAATGCTAGGGCGATGTGCTTCAAGCCAGTACACATAAATTGGAAATTATCCGGGTATGGATCTCTTGTCAAAGACGGACATACCTCAACAATATACTCGGCTATTCCACAGCTCTACCATGATCCTTTAAGCTAATGACCTCCCAGATTGTTTCTGTGTGGTTCACTATTGTCCATAGTTACGGGCATGGTAGTCAAAACTCTTGTTAAAAAAAACATTTAAAGTCAGTCATAAATAGCAATAAAATCCGAAGGAATAAACAATCGTTAATTGTAGATACAGCAAACAGATACAATAAATTTATGTAGCACCAATGGTTTGGAGAAATTAGTGGATGGGCTCTGTACATTCAGGGAACTTTGTGACAGAGTGAAGAAGAATGACCTGAAGGAGCAGCGTAGCGTGCTTAGCAAAGTTCTTAGATCTTCTGCAGTCTTTAAAGATATACATTAGAGCAAAAGAAATTGCTTTGACACTAAATGACTGTGGGTGGTGGGCATCGCGCTCAATCGATTGATATTAGAGACTCATACCTAGTGGAATTCTAAACCTAATTCCTCAAAGTTGGTAACTTAAGGAAACCCATAATTCATAGAACAGCCAAACAATATTATTGCAGAGGAGAAAGCACCTCAAATGAAAGTTTTTAAGGCGGCTTCTGTGGAAAATTCTCTTTTTGATGGTTCGAGAGTTAAGAGCTAATTCAGAAACTTCAAATACTGAGACCGTTACTAGAGACGATGGAGGACTTGCATCAGGGACCTCTACGACAGTACTCTGTTTTCTCTGGACATCAACATCAAAATTAAGTTCTCTGGTCAAAGCAATATCAGAGGAAGGCAGTTCCTGCACAAATGCAGGAAAAGACAATCACTTCCATGCGAGGAAGGTAGAAACAGAGGCCTTCAAACGAGAATCACTAACGAGAATTCGTGAACGGGTTCTGATTTGAAGAAATCATACGAGAATCCATTCAGGAATGTAAGGATGTAATTCGATGGCAGATATAAGGTCGCAACCGTGTAAAGAGCATCAAGTACGAGATATTTGGTTGCCCAGTCCATGAGATGCGTTGTCGGATGATGATTGCCGGCATTTCCTGCAGAATTGAATGTCTGTACATGCAGCAGATTATAAAAATTATCGAGGTTCTGCACATTTGTGGAATCGTTTTCTTCATATCACTTGAACTGAAACTTTACTGTCAACTGTGACAAACTCGCACTTCCATGACGGATTTCAGTACGGCCATCGTGACTCTTAAAATGGACGGTGTCACAATTGACGACCAGATATTTGAGACACTGAGAAGACCCAGTGACAATAACAATTTTGGAACTCAAAACAATTCAAAATTCTATCTTGGTATTGGAGTCTTTGAATTGCGTATTACAGAAAGCAAATGTAAGTAATCGATACAAGAAGTGACGTCGACAGAGAGAGTTCCAGACCTGAATGGAGAAGCAGATTTGAACCGAGAAGGTCAGTTCAAGAAATTCTGAATCCAGAGCCTCAGAAAACTGTGATGCTGTTTTAGTGATGAACCCAGCATTCCTTCCAATTCGGTCAGCATCGAATCCATAAGCGTGTCCGAGTAGAATTTATAACCGCACATGCTACTTCACAACTCAATGGGAAACAGCATGTGTGGCATTAAATTTTAGTCGTGAACGCTGGAAAGCAGCGGTTAGCAGGAGACGTCGCTTTGGACGCACAAACCTTCAGGGACCAAAGCTTCCAGAGAAACTTCGGTGAGGATTCCTTGCACAAGGTCTGCCCTTCTGAATTGATTTTGACCCGCTGGTAATCCAAACGAAGTTCACATTGACAAGGAGCTAAAATTGCCTGAGCTCATCAGCATCAAAGATCATGAATCTGGATCCACGATTGCTTGCGTTGCAAAGAACAAGCCGCTTTCTAGAAAGAGCTGACCGAGAGCGATGGGAGACACTGAGCAGGCTCACTGACTGGCCATGGAGCCTCGTGTTACTTCAGTGAGTAAAATCCTTGAATTTCTGAGCAGACCTTGAGAGGAGTGGGACGGAGGCAGAGCACTGACATACAAACAGAAAGACAAGAAACTGGAAGTGGCATATGAAGGCCCAGAGACGGCGCCTAAGTACCTCTTTTAAAAGAAGGAGGGAGTGAGGGCACGAAACCACGATCAGCATGTTGACTTGTTCTTCGAGCTTTCGAAGTTGAGATTTTTGGAAGAGCAAATAGAATGAAGGATCAGAAGTCAAGAAAGGAGCTCGGAGGTCTCCATACCTGCCACGACGTCCAGGGTTTTGGAATCTCGACGCACATGCCTTTGTTTTATTGTCACTTGGAGCTTCCTGTGCCTTCTATAGACTTTGACAAGCACCTTGCATCGAGAACTTCTCCCGATAGCACCAACTTAACCAGCCAGTCGGGTGAACGTGGGCAGTTTTCAAGGAATTATTTGGTCCCCCATGGCCCAGCAGCTCCTATTCAGCCTATTTCGAATTACTATTCTTGACTTTTGCATTGTTCGCATTCATGGAGGTAGGCAAGTAGGCAGGCTCCAGAGCTCGAGCGAACCGTCTCATGCAATGGGTCCCACGCTTGAAGCCAATTAGCCTCTGCTAAACCTGGAAGAATGGATTTTATGGTTAGAGAAACGAACATATTGCACGAACACAAACACAAACACATCTAGAGAAGGGAAAGTCCCAGAAGCAAATCTGATGAGTCAAATCCTGAAAGCCAATGCATGCTCAATATCACCACCTCCAAACGTTGGAAAAACACGAAAGCAATTCAAGTACAGAGGAAGATCACGGAGGAGACTTTGTTTGATGTTGGGTTTCGTCGTCCGAAGCCCTCTCTCGATAAGAATTCGCGATGGTGGGACAAGAAAAAAATCATAGTTTATCGGGGTTTGAACTTCTCTCATGTGCGGCCACGAACTTAATCAAAGACCTGTCACGAGTCCATGGAAAGGCCCCAGAACAAACTGCAGAATAGGACTTTCGGAACAAATTTCTAGAAACAGATTACGATGTTTGAGAACGAGGAAATGAGTGGAAAAACCTGAGCGTCACTCCTAAGGCTGGTGAATTTTTCAAGAAAAGCTGTCTCTATCTATCCTGCTGCTCCAGGGCGAGGGCTGGACGGTTGATATTTAACGGCTTTCGTGGATTGAAGTCGAGTCGTTTTCTAGCACCAACTCCTCTTCACTCGACCTCTCACAGTCAGATTCAGTCAGTAGCCACCGTAGAATGTTCTCTGATCCATAAAACATCAACCGTGGCGGTTGTCTTCCTTCAATGTCTTTCAGTCTCGACGATTGACCAGCGTTTCATCACTCTGTGAAGCGTTGCTTTAAGGAATTATTGTCTAAGGAATACTCAGTGCACTTCACGAGCGTCATTCGTACGAGAACACTAAGGCTCGTAGCAAACGGACCTCACTGGCCAGCATACCCTTATTTACTGAAAGAGGTCGTCCCTTCAATTTGATTCGTCTGTACAATGTCTTGCTATTCACATCAAGGATCTGAATTCCCGACCGGATCACTAGCAGCAAACGGGCATCATCATAATTTGTTCTTCTGAGCACTACAACAACCGAGCACTCTGAAGTCTTTCGTTACCTGAAGAACCTTGAAACGAGCTCCTTGAGAACCTGTGAGATGAGCGCCTCGTCCTTGAGCTGCGAATGGAGTCGAAGCTCACCGGAGCTCAATAGTCCTCCTCCTGGTCCAACCTGTCTAAAGGCTGTTCTGAAGGCCTCTCCCAACACGAGGCCTTCAATATAATCTAATGGAGCCCGGAGCCGCTCCAGAATCTGGATCGCATCACAAGCGAAAGAGCTAATTGTGTTCCGACTTATCTGAATCTCAGAAGGATGAGGCACATGCATGGACAAAACGCATGCCCCAAAGGGTCTGAAATCCAGAGAAGCGAAAAAAGTATGGGTCCGTCCAGCAGCTCCAGCTGCAGTTCGCCTGCCTCCCTGCTTGCCTGCCTGCTTGCTTCCCTGCAGTTATGGAGAAGCTCACAGCGTAAGCCACAATGCACCGCTCACATGAGCAACGAGAGCTTAACTTGGCTGGCTCGCTGCTCATGATCACGAGAGACCGGGCATGATGACGCTGTGTACGATCCGTGGACGGTTGAGCTCGCAAAAACACAGCAGCGTGCTCACACTCCTTGACTCGCTCGCGCGTGCCCAGCACAACCTCAGCTTTCGGTCTATCCAAACTCAATCCGCGAGCGTAATCCGGCAGCTGTGAGCGAATTCCAGACAGCCCACGAAGAGCCAGCGAGAGAGCGTGCGTGCGAGAGAGGGAGGGAGGGAGGGATGCCGATAGGAAGGGGAAATTTGTCATTGACCGAGGGGAAAGCTACTGCAGCCCTCGATAATCATACACGGCCTATCCGAATTTCTTCATCCGAGCAGACTCCGAGGCATGCAGCATCCGAGAAGCTGCTGCGGTCCAGGGATGTGGGCAGGCAGTCGGGAGCTCATGATCACATGGACAACGAGAGCAGCGAGCTCACGATCTATGGAAGTGCTGCCTGCACAAACACTCTTGAGCCTACAGGCCATTTCGTGCGTGGCATGCGCGGAGTGCAGGTGGACACAAGGCGCACCGAATCTGGCGACACGGTCAACCTCGTCCATGTTGGCTCGATGGTTCCCTGAGCAGCAGGATCTTCCAGGTAGGACGTCCTCCATGAGCATAGTGGCGCATGTCTTTGTCGTGTGAGCATGCCAGCACTGGAGCTCCCTCCCATGGCCATCCGGCACGCAAACTCGCCACCATTCCTCGACATTATTGCACAGCTCTGCCGCGAGCCCCGGGGCGAGGAGAGGAATTCTGGTTTTGCATTCCGCTCCACAGCGAGTGGATCGACCGCGAGCGGATATGGACAGAGTGGTTTATCCTCCTGCGACGACCGGGTTCGGATATGATTGTTAATTTCCCTTCATCCCTTCATCCGATCATCCGAACACCGGCATAATATAATGCCCGAGCATTATATCCACTGCGATCGAAGTGCATGAGGGCGCTGTAGCGCAAGGGTGAGGATATAACGATTGATAGTTTGGATTGATTACGCACGTAACACCTCGAGTCCGGGCAACAGTTTAGATAGCGAGCGAGCCAGACAGCAGCAACAGCAGCCTTGACTTTCGTTTCCGTGTCCAAAACGTGGAGCTAGCACCTGGCCCGGATCCTGGCTGTCAGCTGCCTCGCGAATCTCTCGATTCGCTTTCTCTCTCAATTCTGTCCTCGAGCTCTTTCATTCTTTTTCTCTCTCTCTCTCTCTCTCTCTCTCTCTCTCGATCACTTGGTTGGTGCAAACTGCGGCGGCAGCTGGAAGGGAAGCAGATTGTAGCATGGACTCGGTGAGGGACGGAAGGGGGCTCTGTGTGCTGGTGGCTCCGCTGGACAGCAACTGGTCGAGAACTATGGATCGACTACCGTTTGGCACTCTGGCCAGGCATGGGAATACTTCGCGCGGGTCCCACGAGCCGGGGCGAGGGGAATCAGCGCCCTGTACCTTCGTCAGTATATTCGCAATCCACCTCATGAGCATCATTCCGTCCCCCCCCCCCCCCCCCCCCCACGCTCTCCCCGAGCATCTCTCGCTCTCTCAGAGACTCCGCTCCGGCTGCCGGAGTTCCTGCCATTTGCGGCACACCGAGTGGAGCCGCATTTCCGGGTATGCTTTCCGTTTCCGGCAGCAGCAGGCCCTCTACCGACATATACAAGACGCGCTGCCGCGCCATCCATTCCCAGTTTAGGACACCCTTACGTGGTGCGTCCGCCGTTCGCGGCGGGAGCCTGGGGCAGCCCGTCGGTCCCGTTCCCGATCGCCGCGATGTTCCGGTGCGGTTGGTTCCAGGCACCGGCTTTTATCATTTGGCGGAGCGGGCTCTGTAGGTGTTACCCGGATGGCACTCCGCCAAATTTGGGGGCGAAAAGCCCAGGCTAAAATTGGGATAGAGAGGAAGTCTGGTGCATGTGGGACAGTTCCGAAATTCGCTAGAGGTCCTGGTCTGTCGTGTGGGAAGGTGGCATGAGCAGGCCTTGTTGGGCTGCACTGAACCGAGTAACAATTAGACAGACAATATCCGGCCCCTTTGTTTGTTGCTCGCCAGTGCGTGACGCCGTGAAGCGTGATCGGCAAACCAGGCACGCACGCCGGCAGGCAGGCGGGCGGGCAGGCATCAGCCCGGGCCAAATTTAGACGGCACCCGTGACGTGACGTGGTCTCGGTGTCCGCGGGCACAAGAACCTGGCGCCGGTTCGCTGGCCGCAGCGAGAGAGCGGAGGAACGAGGCGGGCCGTGAATCTGCCCCGATGCGGCGATTGAGCGGTTTCAGGAGCTCAGCCGTAAAACCACGTTCAGATATATTTTTCTCAGAAACGGCACTACGAACACAAAACATCCACGCCCTCGTCCAGAAGCAAAGCTCTTTGGCTTGGGTCTCAAACTTGTGACCCTCTATTTTGTCACTCGCGGAGACAGCATCCATAATCTTCAAAATATATACTCGTGCAATGATAATATCCACATTCGATAATATTTTTTACATTCTCTCTCACAAAACGAGGTAATTTATGCAGTTTCCCCCATACAGCTATAATTGAAATTTTAATTTGATCCTCTCCTCCTCTTTATTCTTCCGAATTTGGATTTGAACTCGCGGAGACAGCATCCGTAATCTTCAAACTATACTCGTGCAATAATAATATTTACATTCAATAATAATTAATACAGTTTCTCTGACAAAATGAAGTAATATACGCATCTCCCCCTTACAGTTAAGAAATGATTAATTATTTTGCTCCTCTCCTCCTCTTTTTTCTGTCGAACTTGGATCAGATCCGATAATATTCCCATAAAATAAATCCATCAAGTGGAGTAAAAGAAAACTCATATTCATATGATCAGAGTTTCTATCCTTGAGCAGACAGACACAGTTCGAACATGGTTGCCTGAAATGACTTTCCGCTGAGAGAGCGCGTGTGGCAAAACCAGCAAATCGGTCGCCAGGAGAAAAACGAGACCATTTGCGGTTCCCATCTGAGCTCCAGTTCGTCGGATTGAATTCCGGATCGAGTTCCATGCACGTATGGAGAATTCGCAGCAAGCGGGTTTCGTTCGAGTAGATTGGAGGTTGCTGAGGCTGGCGGGTCGGGCCAAAGGCTGGGCTGGACTGGACTGGAGTGGGCTGGAGTGGGCGGGGCGATCCTGAGGCGTCGCGGATGACGAAAAGCGGCCACAGGAACACGGATTGCGGCTTTTTCCTGGATTCAAGAGGCCAGGCAGGACGACGAGGTCGGGGGGAGGTCGGGGAGTGGCGAGCATGGCAAGGATGGCAAGCTTTGCAGGTTGGAAATGACTTGGAGCAAAGTGTGGGGCCGGACCAGCTTGATGATTCTGCATGCTGCGCAAGGGAAGAGTCAGCCGTGACTGGATAGACGGACCAGGAACCTTATCGAGTCCGTCGGATCCCCCCGGCTGGCTAACGACTTCCATGATCCGAGGCTGCGAGCGAGTCGGCTGAAGCATTTAAGCACCCGACCTCGAGGCTCAGAATGGCAGACACACCAGCTTGCATTTGAATTCGCTGAAACGTCCCTCTCTCGACTCTCTCTGTGTCTCTCTCGCTCTTTCTCTCTCTCACTGTCTCGTGAGGATTGATTGCCCAAGAGTTGAGGAGAGGCTCGAGAGCTGCTCTCTGCTCAGCAGAGGCCCAGTCCGTCCCGTCGTCTCGTTGCGTTGCGTTGCGTTCGGTGGGGCGAGGGTCGTAGTATGTTTACTCCCAGCGGCTGGACCGTGCTCGTGCTCAGGAAGATGAACATCAAGTGGGGAGCAGGCTTCGAGGACCAGGTGCCCGTCGGCGAGATGGAGGGATTCTACACGAGGCTGCTGTGGGCAATTCCTGAGGATGAGGAGGACTCAGCCACCAAGGACAGGAACCTAATTCAGCTGAACAGGAACTCCAGGAAGAGCAGCAGCTTCGGAAGCAGCAGCAGCAGGCACTTTGGGCGTGACTGCGACTGCCCTTGCAACGCCGACGGCCTGATGAAGGGCGCGCAGGCCCGGCCCAAATTCGCGTCTCCCATCAGGCAGATGCGCAGGAACGTCCGAATCTCGAACTCGTGGCCAGCGCTGGACTCCGAGTTCGAGAGCAGCATCAGCAGCAGCAGCATGAAGAGCACGGACGACAAGTACCCGGCGCCCTTGAGCTTCATCCCTCCCCGCAAGAGAGCCGACGAGGAGGAGCTGAGCTACCAGTGCGATGAGGTCAGCCAGCTTTACTCGGCCGTGTCGCAGGGCAAGCTGTCGCTCGATAACTTGCGCATCCTCGGCCTCTCTCTCAGAATCTGACTCGCACGGCCACTCCACTGCAGCAGCAGCAGCAGCAAACTCAGGAGCAGCAGCAGCAGCAGAAGAGCAGCAGAAGAAGAAGCCGCTGCAGGTGTTGCAGCTAAATATGGTGAACCTCACAACAAGGAGCTGCTACATATCCTTGTGACTAAGTTTGTCGAACAAGCCACGGTCAGGATAATGCAGGCAGATGCAGATTCATGATCCAATAATCGCAAAGCTGGTCAGAGATCCATGGCGCGGTCTCGATCCTGCCGAGTGCGTGAGAGCGACGAGTGCATGTGTCATCAATCAGGAGTCTTCCATATCCTACAAGAAAATCTGGCGCAATCTAATCCAATCAGCCTGGGAGCTCTCAAGTTTACCATGCCGATGGAGGTCCAGCGTTCTACCGAGAGAACCGGACTCACCAGGCTGAGATTAGAGCAAGAAGATTCCACAGCATACGAGTACCATCACTCATCATCGCACGGCACTCTGTTCGATCGAAGAGGAGCCCAGAAGGCACAGAATCGGCCTCCCGAGCAGGAAGTCCGAAGGCGAGGCGGAAGCGGAGTCCATGCGCCATCGATGCGTGAGCGGGTTCAGAATCTGGTTTCCATGTCGAATTAAGCAGAAGAGCCTGGAAGCGATCAATTCCACACTATTATCGAGAGAGCAGAGTCTGTTCCTCGGCATGAGGAGCTCTGCTGCTCGACCAGGCTATGATCCAAGGCAAGGAACCCGCACGCACTAGGCACAAGGACTTCTCTTGCGCTCTTCGTTTTTCGGCTGACTTTCGGAGGTCGCAGTCATCGCTCATCCTGCGCAGGGTGGGTAGCTCGCGCTCGACAGGGCGGGGAGATCCAGCATGCACGAAGTTACAGACAGAAATTCATCAATCTTCGATTCTGCTACTCGATGATTCCATTGACAAATTCCGGCAGAAGAGGCCGAAGAGCTCGGGGGCTTCAAGTTTACAACTCCCGAATTCAGGACACCTGAATTACCGAGCTACGAGCAGATCGAGAAGGTAATGCACGCTCACCCAAGGATTTCCTGCCCCCGATCGATCGATCGATCGCGCGGGGGATGACAACTCTGGGCCGTTCTCAGACGGCTCCATCTCAGCGTCCCATGGAGCTCGACAGAGGTACGGTTGGGTTCACACTTCAGAAGCTATGTTCAATGTTCGGGTCTCTCCAAAGGCCCCGGACGTGCTCTCATGAGCATCCACAGAAATTGCATGCCGGCACAGAGGTTCAATGATGAGTCCAACGACGAGATCCAGCGAAAATCGGCCTGGGAGCTAGCAAAGCGCACAATTGTAATGCAGTCGGGTACTTCCATGGACATCCATGTCAAGGGAACCCGACTCTACCAGGCCCACAAGGCAAGGCTAGCCACGAACCTGTGCACGCGATAGGCATAATTTGGTGCAGCATGAATTTCTATGTTCTTCCGGCGACAGAAGATCAAGAGCTCCACCTGGCGGAGGAATTCCGGAGGTTTGAGAGCGAAGGCGAGTGTCGAGACCGAAATCGATCGATCAATTGGCAGATGCAAAGAGCTGACAGGACCCGCGATTGGGAAATCATTCTGCTCAGAAGAGAAACGACACTCGAACTTGATCAAAATCTTTCAAGAAGGAGAAGGCGGACGAACAGTTGTGAGGATTGGAGCACGTCATGGAGCTTTGGGAGACGAGAAGGAGACTGCACCTGTCCGAGGCAAACCGAAGAAGGTTGCAGGTTGTACAAACATAGTTGCAGCAAGAGTGAATTCACTCGAGGTTAGAGTAGAACCATCTGGACATTTTACTCCACAGCTTTGAGTACGTTCTCTGATAGCAGCAAGTTCTGACTAGCAGCATTCACCAGTTGAATCAAAACCATGGCAGCTAGAAAATGTACATGAGTTACAAGAGTCTGGGCTCATGGCTCACACGGGAATACAAAGTGTAAATATTCAAACCACGAGTGTAATAAAATGTTATGCTCGGGAATCCAATTTCAGTCTTTGCTTGCGTGTGGATATGGTAGCAGCAAATTTTGAAATCCCTTCGAGATTTGGCTCCCTTCGAGCCACTCCCATGCCGCCACACAAACGTGGTCTGCAAGGTCGCATTTCAGGCCCTGGAATTGTTCGCTCAACGGCATGTCAGTTCGAGTCTAGAGCGCAGAACTTCTGATCGAAGAATTCGAAAAGGAGAAACGGATAGCTCATCGGTCGCCGATCGAAACCTGCGGTCAACGTCCAGAGTTGATCGCCTTCGGATTTTTCATGGTACAACCGTATCTACAGACTGTCAGCTTTAAGTACAGCTGTGACTTGCTCGACATTCCGGCTCTTGTGTATTATGAAACTGTTGATCGGATTTCATACCGACTCGTATGGTGACATTTGTATCCATCTGCCTTCAGCTATCCTTCTGAGTCTGTCTTTGTTTTGGAATCGCATGACATGTCTGTCGTCTGACTATCACGCCTTCTGCTCTGAGCACAAATTGGCGGTCGACAGAAAATGAGGTTGAATTCTTCTCGGGGTTCGATGTCAATTTTGTTCAGTGCACGGACATCGAAGATCATAAGAGGAGAACGCAATCATTGCTGAGACTGAACATTGAGATTATCGGAGGGCGGCAGTGTGGTGAGTGGTGAGCAGCAACCGTCGGAGTTCACTTGAACAAGCGAAATCCAAGGAAGTCTTCGAAAGCTGGGGAATCCCCATGAGTTTCTGTTTCATGGAAGGTTTGCGGGTATCTTCGGAGCATTTGCTGTAAAATTTACGACAACTTGGAGTGTGCAAGCGATTTGAAGAATTTCAAAAATGTTTGTCTCGTGCGAGGCTCAATAGTGTCCTCCGATGGTCGGGTTAGATCGTGAATGCTGCAACATGACGTCACATAATAAACCTCAGTTTCATCATACAGAGATTATACCTTTTCGTGCGAACAAGAGTTGGACTTGCACCGACAACTACGAATAAGAAAAGCCTAAATTTAGGTTCAGAGAGATTGTCTTCTTTGAAGTCCCATGAGCACCGCATCAGCTTCGAGGAGCAAAAGTATTCAAAGTAGAAGATAGAGAGAACGCTTTGGGACGAGATCGTTTTCAAGTCTTGTCCCCTTGCTGTGATCCTCAGTCGACTCAGGACTTTCATCACACCTTGGATCAGTATCAGAGTATTAGGTCCTCGGTATCACCTCAAAGGCGCCAGACTTGCTCTATAAGGATGAACTTCTAGCCCTTTTACTGGTAATCATGTATCGAGAAGAGAGACTCCGAGATATATGGGGGACATATACTTCATATGTCAATAATACCTCTTTGCGAGCCACCAGCATGTGTATGAGACGACTCAACGTTTCAGACAGAGAATGCTTCAGTATAATGCCACTCAGGATATGCACACAGTTTCATCACAAGACATCTCTCATCCTGGCTTAATCTTCTTCGTATGAAGTGTATACTCCATTTTCCTAGACTCTATATTAGATTCCTATCTTGAAGGAATTGAGCCTCATTCTGGAAGTTGTTATGGATACAGACTTATAATGGAATAAGACGTGACGAGACTTCAACTTTTCAGATGTGTGGGATCCCCATCGATGCAAGGTCTGGATCTCTCTGACACAGATATCGAAGTCGGCGTTGTTCGTGCCTTCGAGAGTTTGATGACAAGGAACAAGAAGGGTGGTTGATGTTGCCCAGGCTCAGGATAAGTGAGCACATCTCCAACGTTAAAGGCAGAAATTTCCTTCTGCACCATCAGCATCAACTTCATAGTTGCGAAGGCCGAGGTCTAAAAACCACCACCATATCTCGGAGATCTCATGATCTCCGAGAGCACGCAGACAATGCACCACCAAGAGTGAGGGATGTCTGAGAACGAGGAACGCAACTGTATTGGAAATCTCTCATTCCATCAGTCCACTTTAGTCCGGTCCCGGATCTCTGTGGACCCAGGAAATCAGAGCAGAATTGGAGTGTGCCTGGCAGAGTCTAAGATTAGCTCTACTTCAGCACTCAAAAGGTGATTCTACCATTCAGCACTTCCATGTTTCGCTCGAGTATCTTCTCACGGATCATACATATTCCGACGTTGGTCCCAATTTCCGATGGCGTTGACGGCCGATAATCAGGCACCGATGCTTTCAAATCGAAATGCTAAAGCGATGCGTTGGAGACAGCACCACTGTACGTGAACCATCAACAAATAGATATTTGTGTCATTCTTTTTCTCACACCAGCTCCTTGCGAGTTCTCACGAGTGCAGAATCCTTGCAGAGATACCAAGTTCTGTGAGTCCCCAAAAGTCCAAGAGAATCCATGTTGGACTATGGGACATGAGCCAAAAGGTGGCAACCGATTGATACCAGCCTCAAGGAGCAGAGTCAGCAGACAGTACTACAGTCTAGTCGAGCTTCACCTTTCCCACTACATGTGCTCCAGCAGGACAGCCCTCGCATGCATGGAGTCATGGACTTTCGTGCTGGGCCGAATTGGACTCGTCCTGCACTCCATACATCGAAATCTGAATCTCTTCCTCTGCCTCAGCTGCTGGACACGCAGGACCTGGAGTCCTGGACCCGACCCAACCCAACCCATCTTCGAGTTACGCCTGTGCCTCCACTGTCCGTCCCACTTTAGCAATTTCGCTCTCTAGCGATCTCGGACGTAAGCCATGCCGACGCCTCAGCTCTGATGCTCCGTGATCCCAAGAGTCCAGCCCAACCAGTTCAACCACCCAAAAAGTTGGTAGCCTCGTGGCCCAGCCTTCGTAAGTCCAAACATTGGCCTGGTCCTATTTTGCTCTCATACGTAGACTCTGTTGAAGCTGAAGACACTGGACTTCGATGCGATTATGTTTTTCTAGCTCATCAAGTGAGCCAAAGCTTCCCAAGTCTGCGCTGGATTTCGTGAATCATGGTTTTGCTAATCAGCTCATCTGGACCGATACCACTCTGCTTGGTAGCGGACAGTCCTTCCAAAAAGGGATCTGTGCTTTCGTGGACCTTAAATTTACCCTCCCGAGTGCGTCCCAAGTTTTACAAGCTTTCGCTAAATCAGACGTCGTTCATAATTACGATGATTCCTTTTTATGTATGTCTAATTGGGACTCTCGCTGTTTGCCTCGTTGTGAGTGCCTTCTTCTGACCCTTGTCCGGATCTTCCATTTCTTGAATTTGTTTGCATGATTTAGCTCGAGCGATGCTTTTCAAGCTTTCAATCTGGTAATTAAGGAATCACCTAGAGGAAAATATCTGATTTATTCAGAGCACAGAAAAGGAGTGAGACCAATCTTTGCACATGAGGACTTCAATCGTTTTCAAAATACTTCGTAGGATGACATGGATTAAGTGCGCAGATGATTAGATCTGCGATTGTGCTGACATCCTTGCACTTTTTATCCAAGTATAGGTTATCCATGAGAATCTTCAATGTTGTATACAAGTTGTCTTCTCCACTATATTCTAACTAGAATCTCACATAGTTCTATATAAATCGCCATACACATATCTTCAATCCCTTTAGCTCATGACAAGGAATCACTAGGTCATCAAACACCATACAACTCAGCTTGGTCTTGGATCACAGGACTTTATAAACATGATAAGGACATGGAGAAAATTTCTCAATAAAAAAGCTTGTTATCCAATAAATTAGCTCAAAAGAAAGAAATCGCCAGGTCATCGGAGGCCCATTACAACGACGTGCTTTCGGATTGGAGCTTTGTGAATTTGTGGCCTGCATGAACCTACTTCCTCAACGGAAGGAAAATGATTGATCCAACTTGAGCAAAGGCTCTAGGTGCATCATATGGCTCATGAGAATGGAATCGCCAGTTCATCAAACGCTATTTACGTCAACAAATTCTGGAGTGTACACTTCATGCTCTCGGTACCACCATGGAATAAAATACACAATGTTCAGGATTTTTTGTTATTTTAAAAGCAGCTCACAAGTCACGATGCATGGTCTTTTCTCAAATACCACAGACAGTCTTCTGTTATTTGACTGCTGAGAATAAGTTGGGGAAAGCGTTTGCTTGAAAGTGTAGTCCTTTGAGAGTCTAGCAGCAGATCTTTTACAAAATATTACAACTCATGATTACTGTCAATATGGACCAAGAATCCTCACTTTCTATGTGCGATAGCGTGTAGCTTCTATACTTCAGTGTGCCGGAGAATTGTAGTTACGGGAGAAAAAGCTATAAGAATAGAAGAAACCTGAATACTAATTTTTTTTTTCTGCCACCGACATAGTAGAAGTGTTTACTTAGTTTCAACTCAAAGTATGCATTTTTTGACTCTTTGCATTGTTGTATCGATATAATAATCCGGTTTCTGGTAATTTATTTGCAAAATTAATTATTAAATAATTAATACATATACATTTTTTTATAAATGAATTTTTTAATTTTATCTTAAATATATTTTTAACAAATATATTTATCATATAAAAATATTTTCAATTTCACTAATAATATTTTATTTTTACAATATATTATTTTTGAAATTGAAAAGAATTTTTATGATGATTAAATAGTCAGTTTCATGAAGGAAAAATTTCGAACAATCATTGCAGTCAAATCCTAATTTTATACTATAACCCTAATTTTATACTAATTCTACCATCGAATGAATTCATTTATAAAACTATAAAAAGTTATAGAAACCGCTGAAAATAATTCCAGAACTTTGTGTTTACAGTCATGAGCGTGCAAGTCACAAGTGATGAAGGCAGTCTGAATCACGGGCCGAAGACAAGGTTCTCCGAGCTGCACAGACTGAGCAATGGGAATGGGGACCTGGGAGGTGGGAGGTGGTTGCTGGCCGCCGCTGCCCTCGACTTGCTTCAGAGCCAAGCAAGTCAAGCAATGGCTACGACCTCCGAAGAACTGCCTTCCCGACTCGCCGACCAGCCACACCAGCCAGACCAGCCCGATCCCAACAGAGCGGACAAAGTCGGCGATCCTCCACCTTGCGCTTGCTTTTGAGCAGCGCAACCGATCTCGACTCTGTCCTTCCGTCTGCTGGTGTCGTTTGTGCTCTGTTGCTGCTCTGTTGCTTCCATTCTCGGTACGGCACCAGCTTCCGTGCGCACCAGAAGCACCTGGTCGACGACATTCTTGTCTCAGACTGCTGCCAGTTCGTTCTCCGAGTGAGTCCCGGCACATAAAGCCACTGCCCCGATAGAGTCTGGACTTGGGACCTTGCCCTCTCACTGTGCGCTGTTCGTTCCTCTGCCCTGCCGGACGAATTGTTGTTGCACAGGTCAGAGAAGGGCCGGTGTTATGTCCATTCGCGAAGAATTTAATCGCTCACTTGCGTCCTGCAAGTGGCTCTCGGAAGTCAAATTGCAGCTACTGTTAGTTCGTATGTAAGTGAGGTAGCAACTGACCACGTCTTGCTCTCCCTCCTCTGCAGTATCGGGATTTTGGTCGATCGATCGTCCACGGATTCTTTCAGGTAGTTATCGAATGTCAATGGGTTCATCTGAAGGCTCTGGGTTTTATCTATCTATCTGCCTGGGAATGGCTCTCACTGGAGCCTGTGTGTCGGTGTTGGATTTATCGAGAGACATCATCTGTTGACGCATGCATGTCGCTTTCCGTCATCCACCGACCTTGGATGGAGCCTCGGTGGCCACAGTCATGGACTCTGTTCAGCGAAGCGACCTCCTTGCAGAGAAGTGCAAGGAAGTCTCAGATCGCGAATCACAGGTCCTTCGCAGGCGTTTAGAACCATTGGCTTCCATTACCTGCACCTCGTACCCAAGTCTCAACGAAATCGGAATTTTACCTGCTGAGGGGACATATAGAAATATTTTAGCAAAAGCCACAAAGCGTGAGTGCTCAGAAGATTGCCTGGTGTTTGGATGACGTCGGAATCCATGCGAGGTTCGGTAAAGTTCAGCATGACTCCCTCGAGCTCAGGGAGCTCAGTGAGTTTCATCGGATTCTTAAGAAGGCAATAAACTGAGCTCTCTCTATCTGCTTGGCGTTCGAAAGTCAACTACTGGTAGACGGTCCCTACAATCTGATAATGCCTTGCTTTGATGGCGAGCATCACGAGTGAGCCGAGTGAGCTGACTGGGAATTCTGTTCAAGATGAGTTCAGAGAGGTGAGGACGGTGTCATTCAGCGATGTTATCCGGACAGTGCTGGAGAGTGAGAACCACAAGGTTAGGCGATTGGCAGAATCGAGCATCGGGTGCAGATATTCCTTACATCCCGCGGAGTCCGTATTCTCGACCGTAGCACGGTCAGGAACATATTCCAACCGCCACGCGAAGAAATGACGTCTGCGTATGCCACTGTAGTCCATAGCTGGGCTCTTCCCCCAATGCCCCGCCCTCCAGACCAGAATCCCGAGTGTAGACAGCTGAGAACCACTGTGACGAATCTGCTGTAGACAGCTCATGGTGCAGAGCATGATGTCGGTCATGGAACAGTGGCATGGGAAATATTTTGTGCTCTTGAGGATCATGAGAGTGAGCTGTTGTGGAACCTTCCGAATGATGCAGGAAGCCCGGAGGAGAAAATAATTTCCGTCCCTAAACTGCCCCAATCACTCCTCGACCTTCTGGTCCTCCCGACAAGGATTGGGCTGGGCTTCGTATTCTATCCTCCACCCATTTGCCCTCGACTGGCACAAGAGGACATTGGACTCCTCATGGTGACCGAAAAAGGGCATTAAATCTCGATCATGCGAGAAGATGATCCTCGTGTGGCAGTCCGTTCAGTACTCCCATCCTTCATAAAGCCTCTCTGTAATACGCCTCTTCTCTGGCTTCATCCTCTCTCCTCTATCCATCGAGGCACATCCGGTGATCGTTCGAAACTCTCCGCTTGACCTCGGTTCCGATTCAATCTACAGACGATCGCGTCCTCTCGTCAAAGAGTTCAAAGGAGTGCGAAGCTACGATGAAATAGGAAAACAATCTTATTCGTACGTTTGAGCATGTTGTGTAGGGGTCTGTGGTCTTGGCAGTCAGTAGAGGCGGAAAAGAGGCCAGAAATTGAAGAAGTTTCGCTCGTCGATCTCTGGATGGTCTGTGATGCAGATTACTCGAACTTGCCCTGTTATCGACGATCACGAATAGGTACTTGTGTTTTGGACCAGATCATGCTTTCTAGCTTCTGATTTCCTTCATCTTTCTAAGAATGCCTCTGCTATTTTTTCCGAGATGGAGCAAGGCAGTGTAGAAGCTTGGCTTCTAGTCTTTACATGAGTTCATGACTGTGTTGGATCGAGGTCAGATATGCTTTAGAGTGGATCATTTTCACGCGGCTCTCACATTAGTAGGTACTCCCCATTTTCTGAGCCGGTGTGGTATGTTTTCTACGAGATAGCTCAGTGACCTCCGTGCCGGAAGAGTAGATCTTCCAGGTCTGCATGCATGGAGAATATTCCACGTTTTATGGTTGAGGATACTCTCTGGAACTTGCGGGTCGCTTGTGTCTTCTTTGCTGTTTGGACCGCCGAGTTTTCTGCAATCGGAGGCTGACGGAGGAGAGAAGAGGTTCTAACGTGATTTGTTGTTTGCATTGTCGGTGATCTGGCGTTGTTTTCGAGTGCAAAGTGAGTTTATCGTGAATCCTGTTCCGAGCAGTCCTCAGTGAGCTTTGTCAAGCCTTGGGGCTACGAACTCTATTCAGCCGACACGTTAAAATTCACTTATAGGAGTTCCATGAGGTCCTTGAAGGCATCTTCGCAAGAGTTCATTGCGGTGACTGCACAAACTTTAACAAGCACATTCAAAGAAGCTTCGAGAAGCTCCATGACTTCATCTGAAAGCAGCGCCGTTCGGACATTGAGCTCTTGTTTTTTGATGGCTTTGTAGATCTCATGGAATTTCTGCAAGTAAATTTCTATTTGGTGGCTTCTTTTGACATTCTACAAAAGTAATAATAATGAAAGCATCGGGTGAGTATTGAGATAAAGGGGAGCACCTTGCTATCATAAAAACGCCTGCTGTTACCATAGTAGCTGCATGAATCAAAGCTGGCCTTCGGCCCTTCGGACCCACAAAGTGCGTAGCACCTCTCCCTATAGTATCGCTCCCTTTGGGCCATAGAGTTCGGGCTTTTCCTACAGTTCTTTGAGAAATCCGCTTTTTATGCGAAGCTGTGAGGGATTATGTCATCTTGATCGGCACAGGGAATCTTCTGAGAAACCGTTGTGCCACATACGTTCTCACTTATATTACAGTGAATGCGCACTTCTCGTTCTTGACGATCCTTAAAATTCAGATGATTTCCGTTAGCCAAATATAGTTCTGATTGGCTCTTTGTGAACATTGTCTACCTTTACGTTTTGGTTCACTGCAGCATCTGAGCACGTTGGAGATTGAGGTTCTGCAAGTCCCAAGGTGCTTTCTACTTAATGCTTTCCAATTAAGGTGATGAAGTCGCCTTTCGAAAGTTGTAGCCACGGCATGATAAGTGGTTTGACTTGTTAATCATAGAGAAATCAGCGTACAAATTATTGAATTAACACCAGTTATTGTGTCTGCTGGCTTGCTATTGTTATTTCAGCCAATTTGGCATTGTATCACTTGGGCCTCCACTCATCTTCACTTACATTGGAGGAGAAGTAGTTTGAGAGTTGAGAAGGAAACTTTGTGATATAGAAGGCAGGATATCGGAACTTACGAGTTAGGAAGCTGCCAATTTACAGGGTGCTCCATAATTTTCATGACATTGAAAAAGTGTCTCTGGCTATGTCTTACTGTATTTCGAGGTATGGAGAAAGAATAAATTGAAATGACTGAGATTTAGTAGACTGGGCCAAGTGGATATTTTCAGCTATATCATTAACAACCAATATAGTAGTATTATATATATATATATAAACATATAATTTTACGTCGTCCTTCTACATAATAGGAAACCTATATCTACTTTAAAACTTAGTATTGAATGAAAAAATTGAAGACGGAGTAAGCTTTAAAGAAATATTTCTGGTGCTGACATAAGTTATAATTCCCATCAATTCATACAGAATGAGAAATGAAGAAAGAATACCTTTGGAACGGCAGAAGCAAATTATCACCCTATAAATCGGCATGCTGATACCCATTTCTCGCGTACGAGCTATCCAAAAAAAGTACTGCCATACAAATTATCAACACTGGAAACCTGAGACCGACATACCTGCAGTTGAACACTGCAAAGCACTGGCCCCACTGCGTGCTAGACTGAGAATCATAATTACGTCCATGTATGATGTCATGTTTGCACATCTGAAAGGAATTCTTATGAAAACATATTTAGCCAGCTTTAGCAGAATGTCTGGCCACCATTGACCACAAACTTCATGCCGCATTGACTAACTCAATGAGCTCAGATCCACTCACAGGCCTCTTGTAATTTAGACTCGCACGTGTGCTGGCCTCCTGAGTTCTTGTTGCCGTGGTCACTTTTGTGATGCCACGAATTATCTGCACACCTTTCGCAGCTGATGGAGAGCAGTTAATCAACTCCTAGATCAAGGTACGTAGCTGACATATGACAGTAGAACATTCTAGGCTACGGACATACTTGTAGTAGTATTGATGTACAAAGGATTCCGATATGCGATTATGCGATATGCTCAGTGGAGTGTAACAGTCGACTTAGCATGCCCTGGCAGAACTCAATGGGTTTCTCAGAACAACATCCATCGGTCACTGACTCGTTTTATCGTGACCTACCAGGTGCACCATCTCTGGGACCGACTCCTTGTACAAGTAAACGTTCAATTTTTGTCAACGTAGCCCTCTTTGCCCCATGAATATATTACGATTCTTTATTTTTCTCTTGGCTGCAACTGTAGAAGCTCACCCAGTCAAGTGCTGAACAAGAACTTCGCCTCTCTTCATCAATCATTAAGAACATATCTGCTGATTTGCTCATCATTATACTGCTCGATGTTTCTAGTTAAATTGTTCTTGCTTCTTCCAAACACAAACTATCTTAAGATCTGCTGTAGGTCGATAGTGCAGCTCTGGTGAGAGAGAATATCATCGGCGAGAAGTCGAATTCCAAATGATCACTGCCAAGGTTGGATGACAGCCATCTCCAAAGTATGATCGTCTTCCGCCCTTGCGTAATCACACTGCTTCTACTGGAAATCATTGCACCTTGGTACTACACCTTCAATCTCCGAGTCCGAGCACAACCTGGAAACCGAACCTGGAAACCGATCTCTCGAAATCTACCGTCCAGCAACTAGACATCAACAGATATCTCATAGAGCAAGTCAATCAGGTCTCTAAAGCTCACTTAAGCCTGGGGATGAGTACCCCGAAAAGTAAATGCACCCTAGATGCAGAAAAGTTTTCATTGAAGTCGAGTTCTGGTACCATAACCGCAGCCTCTTAGGAAGAAAGTTATAGTTGGAAGAGGGTAGGCGACGCTTGGTCTTCAATGAATGGGATTCGAACTTCTCTTGAAGCATCTACAGGCCATCGTGTCTGCTTCAATCCTCTTCGCTGACTGCTGCCGATCATCGATCTGAGATTCTCACACCTTTCTCCAGGCAAAGCGGCGTCGAGCTGGGCTCCAGTGAAGTCTACACGGACACACTCGCATCGCTGCGTCGCAGTATATCTGAAAGGGCTCTCCATGCTGCCTGCCTCAGCAGCTGCGAGACAAATTTCAGTTACAGATCATTCCGCCTTGGGGTCATGACAGGCTGATTTAAAGTGTTGGTTTGAAATCGCAGGGTCTGCCAATCTATGTCCCTTGCGGCGCCCATGAATCAGTGGAGAAGGACTGAAAGCCAGTTCGTAACGAGTGCAACTCTTCAAACTTCCAATGTTGGCCGGTTTGCTTGTCTGCCGCAGACCTAGCCTGTCTTCAGATCTACATCTCATACCATCGATCCAACAACATTCGTCAACAGATTGCCATTCGGTTTCGCCTTCGCTTGCAATACGATGCGGCGACTGGAGAGGATCACAGTTTGCATTCTCAGGTGACACAAGACACCAATTTGTGATGGCTTCTGAGAAGTTGAGTGGCAATACGCGTGGATCATTGTCTGCCTGAGAATCTAAGGATCACAAAGTTGCTAAGTCTGTGCATTAAGTGGCCAGACCTCCTTTTCGTGAGATGCGGGGAACTGATAGACTTCTGGGAACTGAAAGAAGTGTTGTCTCCTCCCCTGGAAAGCTTGCTTCATTTAAAGGACCAAACTCAGTTACAAATTATTCGGACGTGGGCTGCTTGAAAGGCTAACCTTAAAGGTTGATTTGAAATCTCAGGTTCTACCGTTCTGTCTTTCGTGGTGAAAATGACACAGTATTGAAGGTCAGTGCAGACTGAAATCCATTCAGTATTCAGTGCGAACTTAAGAGTTCAGATATTGTCTGGCTGGTTCGTCTGCCGCAGACCTCTCTTGTCCTCAAACAGACAGTTTCAGACCACATTTTATACAACTTAATCAAATATACTCATCATCATTAGTCTTGCTTCCGCTTGTATTACGATGCGGCGACTGGAGGGGAGCATAGTTTGCATCCTCATGTGACACGAGACACAAATTTGTGACGGCTTCTGAGAACTTGAGTGGCAATGCGCGTGCATCATTGTCTGCCTGAGAATCTAACGAGCACAAAATTGGTAAGTCTATGCATTAAGTGCCGAGATGAGGGAGTATCCAGACCTCCTTTTAGAGAGATGCGGGTAACTAAAAGAAGAGTTTCGCACTCCCCTGGAAATCTTGTTCCACTGAAAGGACCAAAAATCGATTAAGCCGGCATTTATGTTTCCTCAAGACATTCATGGCGTACTGGCCACCATGCTTTACGCAGTGGATACAAGCACCCGTGAACTTTTCCAAATTATTTTGGACAGATGTGTGTTGACATACGCTCATGGTCATGATAAGCCGCGTCGAGTCTTCGACACAAATATTTCTTAAAGAGACCCCTGAGCGTGAACAAATGACTTAGATATTCCCGCCACTTCTTGCAATTGTGCTGAATGTGAAGATCTGATGGGTGATCAGATCTGTAGATCCTCACCGACAACAATAAGAATGCATATAAAGAATGCGATGCGTGTGTTCTTGGTTTGAGTTGTCAGGATTTTTTAACGTTAGAAGGAGGATCGTCATGGCATGTGGATGCCAACTGTCAGTGACTTCAGCCGATTTCAGTCTAAAGTTCTAAAGAATCCAAACCAGAATTTCAATCTTGAGTGGAATTCAGTGCTCACGTGCTCAGTTTAATGATAGGTTCAGGGAAGTGGATTAGCACGAGGAAAGGGTGTCTAGGTAATAGTCATACGAGAGACATAGACATGTACCAATTGAAGTAAAAAACATTAAGAAGAGCAGAAGCAATATGAGATCTTTAGGTCAGGGATAGCTGTTGTTCGTTGTTCATCATACGAAAGAATATGAACAAAGTTCATATTCTTTATATAAATATGTAAAAAATAAATTGAATTTGACCTTGTTCACAAAACTGTCTCATGGACGGTTTGGAATTCATGTACAAGTAGAATAAACATATTTCTTCTACGTACATCTTTGGAATCGGAAAACTCCTGCACCTTGCCACTCCTTGTCCTTTTTTGCGTTCGTATGATGAACAACAAACAACAGCTATCCCTGACCTGAAGATCTCATATTGTTTCTGCTCTTCTTAATGTTTTTTACTTCAATTGGTACATGTGTATGTCTCTCGTATGACTATTACCTAGACACCCTTTCCTCGTGCTAGTCCACTTCCCTGAACCTATCATGAAAGTACACCATTGCTATTAGTTACACTACGAGTATCATGAGCACTATTGCTTCGAGAAAGTTATCTACAGAGATAGAGTTCATCCATCAAGTGCTGAGCAAGAATCATATGCTGATTCACTCGTCATTAGACTGCTCGATTCCTCTAGTTAATTTTTTTAGGCTTCTTCCAAAAAAACCATCTCAACATCTGCTGTAGCTCTATAACACAGCTCTGGTAGATCAAGTCTATCATCTGCGACATGTCAATTTTCCAAATGATAGCTTCCAAGGTTGGTAGACAGCCATCTCTGATATCTGATTTTCTTCCGTCCATGCGTAAGCTGTCTTTGTCTTAACCGGCAAGATTAAAAAACAGTCACAGTCGCTTCTCCTGGAAATCATTGGACCTTGATAATCCAACCGTTGATTCCGACTCCGAGCTCAACCTGGCAACCAATATCTCCGAGTCTAGCGTCCAGCATCTAGATCAGATCTCCATTTCCTCACTCACTTACACCTGGCGATGAATAACACGACAGTATTTTACCCTCGATACAGAAAAGTGTTCATTGAAGTCAAGTTCAGGTACAAGAACCACATGCTATTAGGACGAAAGGAATAATTGGAAGACTCTTCCAATTATTCCTTTGGACGTTCAGTATTTATCAATGAAATTTGATCCGAAACCTCCTTCTAATCAGACCCACTGCGTGTCTTCTTCAATCCTGACCCCGTACGGTCGAGACAAGGGGTCCAGCCCAGATATACTGCTGCGGAGTATGGATCTGAGATTCTCACTTCTTCATACAGGCAAAGCGCTGTCAAGCTGGCCCCACTGAAGTTTACACCGATGGCACTCGCATCGCGGCGTCGCAGTTTTATAAAAGGGCTTTCTAAGCTGCCTGACTCAGACGCTGCAAGACAAACTTCAGTTACAGATCATTCTGCCGTGGGCTCAAGGAAATGCTGACCATAAATCGTAGGGTCTACTGTTCGAAGAAAGTCGGTCGAAACTGAAAACAAGTTTCTATCGAGAGCAATCTGAATCTGAATCTGAAGAGCTCAAATATTTGCTGGCTGGTACGTCTGCCGCAGATCTCGCCTGTCTTCAAATAGACAGTTTCCCCTTCGATCCAAAAATACTTATCATCAGATTCTCATTTACTTTCGCTTACGCTTGTATTATGATGCGGCGACTGGAGAGGAGCATACTTTGCATCCTCATGTGACAAAAATTTGTGACGGCTTCTGAGAACTTGAGTGGCAATACGCGTGCATCATTGTCTGCTTGAGAGTCTAAGGACCACAAATTTGCTAAGTCTGTACACTAAGTGATCAGATGACGGAGTGTCCAGACCTCCTTTTGACGAGATGCGGGGAACTGGAAGAAGAGTCTCGCACTCCTCTTGAAAGCTTGTTCCACTGAAAGGACCCATAAAAACGAGTAAGCCGGCATTCTTGTTTCCTCAAGGCATTCGTGGCGTGCTTTACGCAGTGGATACAACCATCTGTTAAACTTTCCTAAATTTAATTGGACTGATGTTTGTTTACATGTGCTCATGATAAGCCGCGTCTAATCTTCGTCACAAAGATCTTTCGTAGGAAATCCTTGAGCGTGATCAAATGCTGTAGATATTTCCGCCACTTTCTTGCAATTGTGCTGAATGAATGTGAGCATGTCTTGGGTGTTCAAATCTATAGATTATCACCGACAAGAAAAATAATGATGATGTAGAACTTGATGCCTGCCTTTTTGGTTTGAGGTGTCAAGACTTCTCAACGCTGAAGGACAATGGCACTTGGACTGCATGTCTACTGCACCGATTTCAGTCTAAAGCTCAAACAATATATATCTCACATCAGAGCGGACGGAGTTGAATGCTCACGTGCTTTGCTATACACATATCCAGTAAAACAAATATGTTCACAAATATGTCTCATTGACGGTTTCGCAAATATGATCCAAAACAATATACATATTTCCCGTTTGTACATCCTGCTTGTCGGATTCGACAATCAGGCAGGCCAAGCTAATTTTATTATTGACCTAAGACTCATGTTTTTCAGGCTACTGATTTTTGGGGTGGAATAAACTACGCATTACATTTCAGTGCAGCTTGTTGGAAAGTGGCAAAAGCCTATTTTGGAACCATTGAAACTGAGTGTCGTCTTCTCAAGCAGAGACTTCTCTAAATGAATTCTCACTGCCCGGTCTCTCTGCCAAATTGATTAAACTTGGTAGCTCTGACACCATGATCCATCACTTGCAGCCAAAAGCTTGGAGTCTTAAGGTGGGATAAAGGCCTTCCGTTACTGCCCTGAAGGAACGCATACTTCTCAAATATTTGCAATGTCAGGCGCTCCCGGCTTGATACGCAGTGCTGCATAGTTCTGGACGCTTGAATTAATTTGTGGTGTGAAGAAGGGCGGCGTTCTGTGACGACGCGTCAACGATTTCACCCATTCTTCTTCACCTTGTTACCCCTGAACTGCTAGCAGCCATTTTCTCCCACATTTGCTCCATCATCTCAAAATTCGATTGACGATGCCACTCCTCGTCCTTGGTGTCATTGATAGGACGAACTACATTCAACAGCTATCCCTGACCTAGAGATCTCATATTGCCTCAAATATGCTCTTCTCTTTCCTTGTACACGGCATTGAATCTTCTTCGGATATACCATAATTCATTTGCATGTGGTTGCTGGTGTAGTGTCCTCAAACGTGATGACCTGAAATAACTTCATCTCCACCTGTCTTGTACAGATTATAGAAAGAACTCCTTCCTCCTTCTCTTCGATGAAAATTCATACAAAACGATAGGGAATTTTCTCGCAAGAGTATCTATCTATCACAACACACAAGTTATTTGATTCTACTGAAAAATTACCCTTCAGCTGCTAGCTGTAGTGCTAAGTTCACTATCTACCCAATTGACATGTACAACTCTGATTTTGCAAAGTCTTAATTTTCACGTCTATTCGTGATTTCACTCATTCAATAGACGTCTATATCTCTGTACTTACACATGCTTTCCTCGTGCCTGTTTCCACTTCACTGAACCTATGATGCAAGTAGAGCCTGACTATCAAGAGCAATATGATTATCTACAAATTGGCTACAGATTGAGGGGACAACGCATGAGCTGCTAGAGCAACTCCACATCAACTGCTGCGATTTTGGAATTTTGTTCTTGTTGTTGCAGATGAGGATGGGGAGGAAAGTCGTCATAATCTCAAGTCCAGGAGTTTCTCGAGAGGAAGTTTACCCTCGGAAATATCCGTGTAAAGTTCCATGACCTCTTTACACTGACTGCCCAAAACCTCCTCATTCGCTCTGCTTCGGCGGGGGCAAGGAGGAATTGGAATTGCTCTCGAGAACTCCTCGACGACTGCTTCAGTCTCGGTGCGGTGGTGAACTCTCCGACTCTTGCACAGCTTCTTGAGTGAAGTGAAGCGCGTAATGCTCTTCATGAAGCGTTTGCATCGACATGCTCCGCCAGAGGGAGGAGTCTTCATCACTGCCTGCTGTCTGGAATGAACGAGATTTTCATTTCTGGGAGTCGTGAAGAGCTTGATTTGCATGGGAAAAGTGGTCTCCTCTTCACGCTCATCCTCCTCGGGAATGGTCCACAACAGTCTAGTGTACAGAAACTGCAAACGGCCTGCATTGAGCTCCTCCATGGGTTTAGAACTCAAGCACCACCTGAGTCTAATGTTATTCAGCACGAGGACAGTCCAACTATTAGGGGTCAACATCTTGTCGAGGTATTTATACAAGCTGCCAGGTCCTATATTAATCGAACTTTCCTCCGTCCAGCTCTCCGAAAGCGCAGAGTCTCGACGAGTTTCTGCACTTTCAGAGACCTTCGATGTTTCAGCAAATTCTATGCTGAGAATGCACCGACTCGGACTCGGCTCTCTTCGTCGTCGGCGACTTCGTTTATAAAGACAAAAGCATCTGAATGGACCTGTAGTGCTCCAGAATTGCAGGCATCAACTTTATTTGGGGACATTGCCATATTTGGAGCACAAGTGACCGCGGAGTGTAGCTCCCGGGGCCTTCGCCACAGCCTGGCAAAATTGAGCTCAGAATCCGTGGCCCAAGCCGCTTTTGCCATGGTCTGGCTCCTCAGAGGCGACCTGACATGTCCCCAGATGCTCTGCGTGGCTTGTCTATGCGGCATCTGGCCAACAAAGCTCGACCGAGGCACCATCGACACTCCATCGAGCAGTGACAGAATCCGCCGTCCGTAGGCCAGCAGGCAATTCCACGTCAGGCCCCTCCTTGTCTGGGCAGACAACCGATCGCCGATCGGTAAGCTTCAAATCGTACGTGTCTTTAGAATGGTGTGCAATTTTCGCTCTCTTCTTCGCGGACTCCACGGCCGGAAGTGTAAACTCGGTCGCCCGCGCCGTTCCGAATTTGCGGCGGCCACGGCATATATATTCCGGCTGTATATATCTATATATAAATACTTATATATATATATATATATATCGCCTGAATATATATCGCCGTCCGTTTGCAAATCGGCCGGAGTGAGCTAGAATAGTCTACAATGAAAGACTAAATGAGGTCCAATGAGCCTCAAATAACCTCATCAAGCAACTGAAGGTTACAAGGAAATGTTAAACCCATATCTAAAGACAAGTATCACAAAAGGATCCAGTTAACGTCAGTTGCTATTAATATTTTTGTCAGAAAGGTCAAATTTACTTGGAACTTGGACTATTGGAATACTCATCGATCAGAGTCAGATCTGTGTATAGCACGAGTTAATGTGATGTAAACTCATGTTAGTGCATATACATATCTTTGCATGGGAAGCAAAGAAATACAATACACTGAGCTGCCGACTGCCCCGTCCCGGTTTGCCAGTTGGCGTCAACTTGCTCATCCATCCCTCCGTCGATCCTAAGCATGCACTCCCGTCTCCGAACTCCGGAGGCCAACGGAGGCGACCGGCAGCCTACAACCGCAGAGAGGACATCAAAATGCGTCTGGGGAAGGTCGCGTCCGGGGAAGGTCGCCGCGCCACGTACAAATAGAAAGGAACGTCCGGTGCCATTTGGATGAGACGTCCGTCTCAAACAACTTCTGTAACTCCCGGTGCCATGAGGACCAGATCGGGGATTAATTTGTATATTCTGCATTCTGTGGCCCTGGCTAGATAAAAGCAGTGGAACATTTCAAGCATAATTTTCAAAGCAAAGGGAAATACAAGCATACTATTGCTGCATATATGCATAAGCAGCATAGTATGCTTGTATTTCGCATTCTCCCATAGATAATCCAAGTTTGCATTCCAATACGAGAGTATTAAATATGGACGTCCCTGCATAAACCTATTATGTGATCCATCCAAAATACAAGATATTATAGCAGTTTAGATTTATCATTTTCAATTGTAAACACATGTTCTTTTCAAATCAATAATGTATATGTTTAGTCCTTCTAGGATGAAAGACGTCTCAAAACTTCTTCCATCTTGTCAAACATCTAACATCATTGCGAGTGGTCATACTTTGCTCTTTGAACCAACAACGACTTATCTACATACATTTTGCATCTAAATTATCATCATTATATTCTTACATGAAGAATACAAATAAGAAATGGTCAAGTAATACCTTCATAAAGAGAAAATTAATAAACTTGGACAAGTAAAATACATCTCATACTACATCCAAAATTCACAAGCTTAGATGTTTCCAAGAGCGTGATTATAAATACAAATTACATTTGGTTTAACTGTAGTTATACATTTTATGCTATCGTGATAACCACCTGTACATAGCGGTTTTGAGAGTAAATTTTGTATTGTTCGACTCTTTCGTCCGTGTATGTGTGTCATTCGAGCCGAACCTGAAATGTAGCGGTAGTAAATGATGTAGACAAGTCCGATTCAAGACAATATTCTTTTGGGAAGATTATGTATCAAAAAATCAAATTTGATAAATTCAAATAGACGTCGTTTCAGAAAAAAAGCCTCCTTGAGTTGGAGGTCATATGGATAAAATTCTGTATACTCTTGTGATTTACATTGTATCATCTCACATATATCCAGGACACTGTTTTTGATAATTAAGTTGAACACGCTAAATAATGTTGGATGATGTTAGAAGAAAGACTTTCTGGATTGATACTCAATAATAAGTTTTAGATCAATATAAATGTTCCACAACTGCATGGAAAATCAAGTTTAGAGAGAATTCGTTCCCCAAACGTTTAATGAAATGTTCCACTGCTTTTATCTAGCCAGGGCCACAGAATGTAGAATTTACAATTTGATCCCCGATCTGGTCCTCATGACACCGGGAGTTACAGAAGTTGTTTGAGACGGACGTCTCATCCAAATGGCACCGGACATTCTTTTCTATTTGTACGTGGCGCGGCGACCTTCCCCGGACGCGACCTTCCCCAGACGCATTTTGAAATCGTCTCTTCGGTTGTAGGCTGCCGGTCGCCTCCGTTGGCCTCCGGAGTTCGGAGACGAGAGTGCATGCTTAGGATCGACGGAGGGATGGATGAGCAAGTTGACGCCAACCGGCAAACCGGGACGGGGCAGTCGGCAGCTCAGTCCTGTGGCTGTCGGGAGAGCTAGCGACCGCGCCGCCGCATATCAGCCTCGAGTTCTCCGGTTCGTCCAATCGTCGTATCCGGCATGCCGCATACCTCAGGCTAGCGTCCTTCCCTCGCGTTGGTCCGACTGTGCGGAACAGCACTCGATCCGGCACCGTAAAGCCTCTCGGTGCTCGAAATGCGGTAGGTCGAGTTGATTATGCCCACTTCCGATAGTCATCAACTTAACTAGTGTCCGTCCGTCCGTCCGTCCGTCCGTCAGACCACCTCGAGCCTTGGAAATTCATCACGACGCTCGGTGAACGTCCGTGGACCCAACAGACAACACTATCGTCCGTCCCGATGGCGCAGACTGGCTCTCTGGACCGGGAGAAGGTGGCCATGGGATCTCCGGGCCGACCGACGGGAACGGATAGCCGGGACAGACAAAAGACTGATCGGAGTCAGACATTCTTTCTCGCCTGAGCTGCAAGAATGTTGGATGGCATGGCAGTGCAGCACACTGGACGTCTCGCGGATCTTAATCATTGAGAGCATTACTGCCGCCGCTCCGTAGCATGAAGAATCTGGATCTGAATCACTTCAAACCCCAGGGGAGAATCAGGTGCGGGACAAACGTTCATACTTTGACCAGAGAAGCATGGATGGTAAAAACACTCATAGTCGTCTCGAAGCTGGAGCTTTAGACATGGTTCGTATTCTTCATAGAATACAAGTTCCTACGTTAGCACCGAGAACCTGATTTGCTCCCCGGTTCGGAGCTTGTTCTCAAGCGCCGAACAAGCTCAGTAAATGAAGGAACGATTTCTCTCTGCTTGATCATAAAGAGACGAAGTATGTCGCCGGGAGATTGTGGAACTTGAACGGCAGAATCTATTCATTCTAAACTGGATCGCCTTCAATCCATATGGGAGAATATGAGAGACGACAAACGTGTACAGGTCTCTAGACTCGAGGAGTATGGATGCGAGAAATTCCAGGATTGTAGCTAGATCTTAGTCATTGCTCATGCTATGGAGGGAATCAGGATCTATTGACGCCGCTCGTGCCTAATAGTGTGAATACCAGAGACAAAACAGATCAATCAGGCCTGCTGGTAACCAGGTCTTGATCATATCTCACACACATGCTATATGCTAATTGAGACACTTGAAGCATTTCAGGCCCTGGTCGAGGTACTTGCTGATGACCAGGTGCGTCGCAAACCCACGAATCTACTGCAGACTCAGATTTATGAAGTATGGCCGCTATTCAGAGATGCTCAAGTTTGAGTCAGCTTCTGGGACCTCGTTGAACTTTTTATTCGTCTTCATCGGGTTCTACACCAGAAAGCATCAGAGGCAGTTGTATTGAGCTACAATTCATCTAGGTTCACCGAACTTGCAGAAAACCACTTGTAGTTACAGTGTGATACAGACCGATTGCTAATTTCCCTTGTCCAGTTTAGAAGATAGATGATACCTCATCATTGTTTACATCAACAAGTGATTTTGTCAGAAAGTACATGCATGGTTTAGTGCAGCTGCTCTTGAGCAGTGCATACAACACAACAAGGATCTAAGAAATTCAGCCGCCACTTTGCTTCACATCGAACATGCTGTCACGTTTCCAGACATTGAACACTCTATGTTCCCTTATCAAAACTCACTCGTGAGTAGTTTTCGAATTCAAGCATCGATAAATTCTATCTATACAAGATGCGAGCTTCGGCCTTCGAGCAGTAGCCCTTGAGGCCTTTGTTTCTACAACTGATCTGAAATTTACAGATCCTCATTGAACTCTCGCGATAGACTAAAATATACCATGATGAAGTTACAATCTTGTCTCTCCAGCATTGGACATCCACGTTGTTGATTCTGTCCCATAATGCCTTTCGCCTTTGCTTGAAGATTAGATTTCCCTCCGAATAGTTTGATGCTGAAATTGTCGCCAACTATGGAAAAACGCAATGAACTTTTGGTATTTTGTGAAAATAGTTTGAGATGAGATGATAAGGTACAATTCATTCTTCTTTGTAATTATCTTCTTTCATGAAATCATGCACTTGGTGATACTGAAATATGTAAAAGATAAGTTAGTACAGTTAAGAATTATAGCTCCTGAAAATCTCTAGATTTCATTGGACAAAATCAAATAGCCAGACAGACTGTAAGTGTGAGAATTGCGAAGATCAGCATATTCTAAAGATGGTGAAAAGCTGGATATACATGATACCAACAATATATGATGCGAGGTATTTATTTTGTGCCTGTGAGTTAG